CTTTTCAAACTTAATTCTCTCCTTCACTCGGCCCCGAATCGTATCCAATTTTACCCATTTACTCGAAATTCTCGCGACGACGTACGATCATTATCCCCGTTCACTGACAGATAGGACGAAAAAGAAAAAGAAAGAAGAGAGGGAGAAAAAAAATAGCAAGGCGAACGAGCATCGTGTTTCGTATATCGTACCGTTTTAGGTACGATCAGCATCAAACTCGATTTCGGTTGGATATAAATCTCTGCGGCCCGACAAGGTGTATCGTGCCTTTCCAGAAGGTTATAGGGAGTCTTCGTGCCTGTTACACACACACACACACACGGTGGCGGTGGTTGTGGCGTCGAAACGACACGAGGCGAGGGTTGAGCGACGGTATAGAGGTCGAGAGAGGGGAGGGGATAAGGCTGAGAGGCGAGGGGCACGAATATAGATGGCAGCTACGTGTTGTCCTGGACGACCAACCCCCGAGCTGCACTCGACTGATTTACTACCCTCGTCTTTGGCTCTGGGGTATCGGATTCGTTGAAGGTCCGGCCGAGGGTGCCAATCGAAAGTTGTATTAAAACGACGATGCCTTACACACGATACCGCGGCCATGGAAATTCTTCTTCCGCTGTCACTCGTCCTCACCCCTCTCTCTCTCTCTCTCTCTCCCTTCTCTAACTAAACCAACGGGAAGACGAAAGGTTAGAGGAGAAAGAGAGAGAGAGAGAGAGAGAGAGAGAAAGAAAGAAAGTTTTTCAGGAGGGATGAAGTTTTTCCGGTTACCGTCGATGATACGTCGCCACGTGATATTCCGTGGCCGATTTTATCGAGGGGAAACGGGATATATCGAATGGTCGTGAACGATTTCTCGGGGATCGAGATTCGTCGTAGCCTTTCGACGCACGTCGAAATGGAACGTTCGTTTTCACGAGGATGTGTTCACGTTGATTTACGGCCGTTAAAGAAAGACACTTTGCTCTTCCAATTTTTTCCTCCCCCCTTTTTTCTTTTTTTTTTTTTTAATATCTCCCTCCTCGTTCGGCGATGATAAGGACACCAATGCAATAAGTTTTTGGAAACGAAGGGTAAAGAGTAAAGGAGATAGGATTGTTGTAAATTCCTGGTCGAAATCTGGATACTAGCGGAAACTATTCTCTGAAACTTGGTCAACTTCCGAAACTGTAGTTGGCTTCCGGCGCCACTTGTTTCATTAACCCCCGCGTATTTTAAACGGAAACAGCATGAGAGAAATTCATACGACGGGATCGTTCAAAAAAGTCACTGGTCGGAATAGAAAGGCTCAAAGGTGGAAACAATTCGTTTCAGCTTGGCCGGCTGGAAAAATATTCCCCGGTTAAGAGCAAAGTATCGTGGATATACACGCGAAATATCGTGCTCCAAAAGCGGATGAAATATCTTCTCGGCTGGGAGAAACTCGAATATCCGAAGAAGCTTTCGAGAAGGATAATTAAATCGTTTAAGACGAAGCTTGCTGCTTCCTCGTAAATTCCTCGAGAGGGGACGGGAGGGGGACGATGGTGGAATGATCGAAACACCCGGAGAAAGGGGGGGGAGTCGTTAAAAATTTGCGAGCTCGCCGCCTAGACAAATGGCGGCGATCCTTATCGGTGGTTGTACAGGCCGCTATTAACAACCTGGTGGAAAAAGCTGCAATCCGCGATAGGTCAAAGACAAATCGCTCCTCGCCGCGCGCCTATCTTCCCCCCAACATGACGTAACCGCCATTTGTTGTTTGTCCGCTACGGTTTTACGTTTCGCTTACGAAGGATCGAGAAGAATTCGCGTCTCTGTCGAGACGTCCTCCAATTGACTCACTCGTATCGTTGGAAAGTTATAATAGGATAATAGAATAACGAGACA